TAAATATGGAAAAAACATCCATAAATACGTCTCTTCGGCCTATAAGTTGCAGGGAATGTAAATTATGCAACAAAAAAAAAACGCGACTTATAGGCCGAAAAATACGGTAGTTGTCAAAAGCCTAGAGGGACCTCTCCCGGTTGCAAATAGTAATATTTACTCTTTGGTTCATGTCAGTATGAATGAACATTTAACGCGTCAGTCAAAAATTGCCTCACGAATAGGGAAAAAAACGTATATAAGTCACTTCGGACTGTAAGTCGCACGACTGGACAAGCTACTGTATGAGAAAAACTGCAACTTACAGTCCGGAAAATACTGTATATGTAATGAACAACTCTCAGCCACCAACATATCAAAATGGATTTCAGTATTTCTAACAATGAGTTTCAGTTTCTCAAGGTTTCTGGAGCAGGACTTGTTACTTCTTGCCCATCGGACAAAGTGACATTCTTAATCTGCAGAGCGGTAACTTTTGAATCTCTGCCAGCCATCTGTTTGTCCCCTGGTTTGTTGCGTAACTGTATTAAAGCATAGTTCACTGCAGCAGCAGCGAAAAGCTATAAATATGATGACTCCGCCCCCTTTCATTGCTCCCCCTGTGCACACTGTTCGTCTTGTATCCCTGCCGTTGTTCTGACACACTCCAGGAAGCGTCACGCCATACTCCCAGGCTGATTTGTCCTCGGAGTCGGGTCGTGGTGTGAATGGATCTGGAAGCTGCAGTTCTATTTTTATTGAAGGCTCATCCGTTGCAAAGTCCTCCTTGTTCTTGTTCGCAGCTTCATGGAGCTCGTCCTCATTTATCAAGTGCTAGTAAACACAAGTTTACACATAACTTTTTCAGAATTAGAGTTTAAAAAAGTTTTTTCAGGAAACCTTTAGGCTAGCATCTGAGTGGGTTAAAAATCTATATCGAGACAGGTTTATGGTCCTATTCATGTCAAAATTCTAGTTTACTTTAAAGGCTTCAGAGGCTGAAACCATTAGACTTCTAACGCTTTATACATTTCTTTATTAATTATTTTTCCAGCTGATTTTTTAAAGTTTTATTTTAATGACCAAATGTTTCAGCACCAGCTCCTCGGTCTGTCTTTTCGGCTGCTTTTGAGCAGAAATGCTTTTTTTTTTTTTAAACGTGGTAATGCTGACATGGCAGCTCTGTTCAGGATGGCACAGCTGACATGCAGACATGGAAAGATGACATCAGCTGGAGTGGGAATACAGTTTGTGGTCTGAATGACGCCTACTAATCTGTCAACCTGAAAATTACCTCAACTTGGAGCATTTTATGGGTCTATCGGGTGTATCTTTAATTTTATAGATCACATCAAGCTCACAGCAGCAGGTTTCCATTTAAAATACCTTTTTTTTTCCAGCCTCGTTTAAGAATAAAGCAGACTATTTAGCTGTTGTGTGGGGATCTGTCTGGATGTGTTACAAGCCAAGTGAGAAACGGTGAGATAAAACAACCATGAGCTGAACTGATACATATATTTCATCACACTGTGACAGGAGTCCATCCATCATCATGTCTCTGGATCCATCCTGGATTATTGAAGCTTCTTTTCACCTGCAGCTGTACAGCGTGATGGCTTAGTCTGTCTCGTCTGTGAGGAAAAAGTTTTGCAGCTTTTTGAAATGTACGCAGCAGCAAGCATCCTGTCTGACTGGGTCACTTCTGAGTAGAGACAGGCTGTTGCTTCAGGTGCACACTCACCCAATGATCCACTCACCAGATTAGGGTTTGTTTACTCACGACTTTCAGACAACTGTGCAATCAATACTCTTTTTACACTAACCCGACAAGTTTGTTCTTCATGCAAAAGTCTCTAATAGAAACTAATCAGGCCATTTTGTGAATTGTCCTTTAAATGCAATTTATCAGAATCAGTTAGATCAGTGAGTATTTGATTAGTGTTAGCTGAAACAGGTGACTGCAGTCAGATCTAAAACTCACCTTTAGCTGCCAAAAGACTGGAAATGAATGCATTTTTTGTGTGTGTTTTAATTACAAAAGGGAAGCTGATTATTTTGAGATTATATTCTAATTTTTTGATCAAACCAGCTGCCTCACAAAGGTAACTTCTGCAGCTGTTTATCCCAAAGAATTCAGAAGTGCTAAAAGGGCTTTTAGCTGTCCTTTGGTGACTCAACTGGGACAAAATAAATGAATAATAAGTATAAGAGTATAACTTAATTATAAGTACCAACAGGATAAATTGTAATTTAGCTGTTTTTAGCTTTTAACCAGCTTTTTGCTACTTACTACCCTTTTGATAGCGTACTTTTAGCTTTTTAATTATCCTTTTGCTCTTAGTTTGCTAGTGTTTTGCAGACTTTATTTAGCATTTTGCTACTTTAGGCTTTTAGCTATTGTTTTTGGTGTTTTTAATTTGTAGTTTGTGTTTTATGCTCCTTTCAGCTTGTAGCTGTTCTGCTTCTTCAGTAAACTTCAACTGTAGATTTCCACTGATTGAAGCCACTAGCTTGACGCTCTGAGCATAAAAGATTGCATAAAAATCACAGAGATCTTAGTGAAGTCGAACATTTGGCTTCTGTTGCAAAAAATCAAAGCTTGTACAAAATTAAAGAAAAGGAACCAGAGAGACGTAGGTGACTCCGCTCTGCCGCACCTGAATGCTGACAGCCTGACTAATTGTCTGACAAATATCCACACCCACCCCAATACAGGTGATCATCAAAACACCTAATTTTACACTGCTACTGGAAATAATATAACTTAAAATCTCTAGTAAATCTGACATTTTAATCACTTTATCATTACAAAAATAAACTAAATATCACACTTATCATTTTAAATGAATCTCAGTGTATCACCTATGAACTCAAAACTATACAGTTACGTTTTTTTTAACCATTATAAACTGCATTTAGGCTCCAACGTCAACAAAATAATTTAGCACCCTGCATTCACGCTTCGTTTTCACAAGTACATTTTTTTTAATTCCTAAAAAAACTCAAAGTTACTGTACTTCCTGATTGAGCCTGCCTCCTTTTTACCACTCGGACTCCTAATAACACTTTATTGACTCTGATAAATGTCGAGCACCATCTGTAATTGCATACGTGGTTTGCGTGAAGGGAAATTAAAGCTGTACGTTTGGTGCGGTCGTGCCAGGAGGAGCTCATGTCAGTAACTCAGATGCTTTCCCATACTAGCTTTGCTGAGAAAATGCTATGTTGTTGATATGTTTGGACCTTGTATGAATAAAAGATCAATCTTTCCAGTGACTTGAGGCTAATCTGCAGGCAGCTGTCACCGTGGAGACAGTGGCTCTTCAGATTAAAGTGGTCTTGTCTGAGTGTTGGCCCCGAGGAACACAGACATTTTAGAGGCGAGGTCAAACATGGACTTTTTTCTTTCGGTTGATCAGCTTCCTCATAACTTTTGTCCCACATAGACTTTGTTAGTAGAGCAAGGGTTGGAATTCAGCTGGGGATTTACTGTTGTTTTAGTTTGTGCAACTCTGGGAAGTGGAAGCACGTCAGCCGTAATTTACTGTATGTAGTTGAACTTTGAAGAGCTATGTGGGAGGTGCTGGACAAACGTCTGTGTGTGTATGAGTGTGTGAAAGAAACAAAAAGAAAGTTGCAGAAATAAACTGGATGGTTTCATCCAAAATGTTTTCAGTTGAATTTAGCTTAGCTGAAATCTTCCTACTCCGCGTTATTCTGCTTTAGGACGACGGAGATTTAGGGCCACGCTAAGAAAAAACAAACAAACATAAAATTATGAGAATAAAGTTGTACGACAATAAAGTCATAAAATTACGAGAATAAATGTAATATTATGAGAACAAAGCCATATGATAGTAAAGAAATTGAATTTATTATGATTATGAGAATAAAGTTGTAAAATTATGAGAATAAACTTGTAATATTATGACAATAAAAACACATAATATTACCAGAATAAAGTCATAATATTATCCAAACTCCAACACGATAAAGCAGGTTTGCCACATGTTAACTGTGGCAAAATGAAGAATGTTGAGCATCTTGTTAAGTTATACTTTGGTACTGGTTTTACAAATAAGGAGATGGTTAATCTGTCAGCACATCAGCATCAGATTATTATCAGTATCAGAACGTTGAACTTGTTTACAGTCAGGTGGTACGCTCTGATGGCCTGCAGCAGCTCTCTGCAGGTAACGAGCATTTAGCTTTGGATTGGTCATTTGCTGACACGCCTACTGGGTTGATTGACAGGTCGTGTCACAAATCCAACTTGTGGAAAAAATAATAAATAAATAAACAAGAGCTGCCAAAAAAAAAGTCTCGTACGACTTTATTCTCGTAATATTAAGACTTTATTTTCGTAATTTTACGGCTTTAATCTTTTTTTTCTTAACGTGGCCCTAAAGCTCAGTCACAGTCACACATTATTATTATTATTATGATTTTTGTTGTTGTTAGTAATTTTGCGAGTCACCAAAACACAGTTATAGATTATGACAATTTTGACCATGTCTGTGTGCCTGTCTGTTAGCAAAATAGCTCATGAACTACGCGACAAATGTTAATGAAACTCGCAGAAAGTAATTAATGGGTATTAACTTTTTGGAGTCAAACTGATTCAAGATGGCTGTCGCAGCCAACTGATCCTAAAACACAGAAGTTGATATAACAGAGTTAATTTTACAGATAACCTTAAATTCGGTGTGGTAGTAGCTGAGAGTCATTCACAGCACTTACTCTGAGGGTGATATTTTGCAGCATTGCATGGGGTTGAACATAAAATTTTGGCAAGGTTTGACCAAAACGATGAGCATAGTTTCTTATTTTTTAACTTCCTCAGTTGCTGATCAAAAACCCTGTGCGGCGTCTCGGCTGCGTACCATCAGAAGGCGGCGAGAACGCCGTGATAAACCACACCTTCTTTACCGGCATCGACTGGGAGAAACTAAACCGCAGAGAAATAGATCCGCCTTTCAAGCCGAGGATTGTAAGTCATATAAAGGTCGTAAGGTTGGATTTTGTGTGGCTGCCATTTATTTTAGTTGTGCTTTATTTTGCATTTTCTTTATCATGTCCCGTCAGAAAACGCCGGAAGATGTAAACAACTTCGACCCAGACTTTACTCAGGAGGAGCCCACCCTCACGCCCATCGATGACCCTGTGATTCCTTCAATCAACCAGGAGGAGTTTAGAAACTTTTCCTTCATTTCACCTGAACTGCTGGAGCTCTAAGAGCCTCGAAGGTCCTTCTTATGAACGCGACAGCTTCTTGGAGTTTGTGCTGTCAACATTTCTCTGATATGTGATCAAAGGGTCAAGAAGTCAGAGATCGACGAGAAGCTGACCTCTGCTGCACTCATGATATCTCGGACATTGCAGTTTGACCAGATTGTGAAATATTTCGGGTTTTTTACTGCCATATGGCTTAATTGGCACACCCGTGCAAATGTTTTGAAATGCTCTTGTTGTAATGAATTTGCTTCCTTTTACGTCAAATGAAAAAAAAGCACTTTTAAAAAAAATGTATGTTATTGTGCGCCAATTTTTGCTCATGCACTGCACAGAAGCACACACAAAACACACAGAAGCACACACAAAACACAGTGGAGAGTTTCTAAACGAGTGAGTCAGATTCCCAGAAAATGCGAAATGCCACATAAATCCTGGAAAGACTGACAGAGCAGATGAAATAGCTTTTCAGTGATGTAACCCTGCCTCGAAAAAAGCCTATTTCATACAGACCTGAGCGCTCAGGCCGAAGGAGTTTTCTCTGTCCACTCTTGGGGGGGAAAAGCTATTTTGGCTGCGCAGACAACAAAAAACTGGTTTAAAATGTTAATTAATGGGCTAAACTACACTAAATATTAATGGCTACACATCCTTCTCCGTGACTTCCTGTGTAATTTGATCAGGCCGGCACAGAGACGAAGCAGCTTTTCATTGGAGGCAGTCTGCTGACTCATGCTGATTAGGGAAACCTGTGAATTTCACCACACATCATATTTAAAAATGCAAACCTGTTTTGATCGTGGAACAAAATGGGGTAACAGTAATCAGTTTGTGTACACACCTGACAGGGTCTTTTAAAGCTTCCAGGTCTTTGTGGGCAGACTTCCCTGGAAGTGGGAACTAATTTCTAACACACCCAAGAGAAAGTTTTCCATGTTTAATTTACTAAACAATTGAGTCTCTGTGAGAACTGAAGGTAAAAGAGGTGCTTAAAAGCTTTAACCTACATTACTGTAACAGTATCTGATCCTCTTGTAGGAGGCCTTTCTTTTCTTCTTCTTTGCAGCCTGGTGAGGATAAACAGGAAACCACACACCACGCCATTACTGTCGCCTTTGATCGAGGCAAGAAGACGAGAGCGGCAGATTCAGACGTTTGTCGACCTGCATGTGTATATTATTACTGCGAGCCGTTGTCTGTGCATTTAAAGGATTAAAGCAGAAACGCAAAAAAAAAAAAAAGCAAAAGCTGAATGTCTTGGGGTTCGACCTGCAGAGACACGACTGAGCTGAACCCTCAGGACACGGCTTCTTCCTGTTAGCACGAAGGTGGAAGTCTTCACGCGTTTATCTCCTCCTCCACATGTCCTGTGGACGACTGGAAATTGGCAGCTGGAGACGTTAAATTGGTCCGTGTACATTCAGGCAGTTCGTTTTTTGTATCTGTAGATTTTAAAACTAAAACCAGATGTGTGCTCCTAGCTGAACTGAAAGGGCTTTCTTTATTTATCAAGTTTTATTCATGAATTCTGAATCAGTGTTGCATAAATCTTGTCGCTTTGTGGTTTAATCCTTGTCCAACATCAGGTTGTTTTTAAAATATAATTTTAAACTGTACCAGAAAGTACAGAGAGCTCATAAACAAAAGAAATAAGCACGTTGGAGGGTGTGGACAGAAATACACCTCGTTGGCACTGTTGCGTCCTGTTTGGCTGCTTCCTCAGGTTATGTCTGATGGGAAGAAGAAGAAACAACAGATTTCTGAGTCTCATTACAGAGTTATTGATAGCTTGCAGCAGCGTCTCTTCACTGCCTTACAAATAACCTCCAAATCACAAACAGTTAATAAAACAATCTGATATTTTTACCGCCTGAAGGCCAAAGGGCAATAATGCTATTGCTCGCGTCTGGACTGTTAATAATTAAAACAACAATTTGTGAACAGATTTTAATGAAACTTTCAGAAAGTGATCACTGGGTTGATGTCTACAGCTGCTTAACATTTAGAGATAATCGCAACAGCAAAATCACCTTAAACACACAAAAATGGCTATAACTCAGTCAGTTTTTACAAATACTGAGCAAACGTCATCACTTGCTCTTGTCAAGGGCGAACGCCTTTCCCCTCCTCTCCTTTTCTACTTTGCTCTGTCCTGTCTGTGAAACTGCTTTAGAGCCTCTCTTCTACAAATCTTCTGTATCATAATTCTGCGATGGGTTTGGTCAATTGGTCCCTTAATGCAATTGATAAAATTTCTTCAAAGAGAAGACAGGCTTTAGGCGAGCCGACTTGCCCTGTTGGCACGCACGCAGCTGGATACCTCATTGACTTGCGAGACTTGATGTGTCTATCTCTGCTGTCAATCGAGGATGTTAAGGACACATATATAATTGGATTTATGATAACTGGTTTCCTACTTTTTGGATTTGGCTGGTTTCTTGTCTATTAACAAACAAAGAAGTGTCAGAAGCAAATTTGGCCCTGGTCTGGCTGCCTGTCTTATGTGATGTCTTGGTTTGTGCCTCGAGCACCCAGACTCATTTGCTTTTGGCAGGATGGATCAGATCTCGGGGAATATTCTCAGGCACGGATCAGTGGTGTGGCCACTTTTGGACGTTTCGGAACCGAGAGGACCGTCAGACTTGAGGTAGACATATTCAGTAACATTCTGCCTGTCCCCAAACAATCATGTTTATTTGAATTTGTCTCCCTGACTGACCTTGACAGGCCACCTTATCTTAATTCGCCTGGAAGCTCTGTAACCCTTGATGCTCTGCTTCCCCCCCTGTTCAAACAGGTCTCACTTGTAAATGAGTCTTCGAGGCCCAATATGATTTATCTGTTTAAATAAAGGTTGAAAGAATGAAAAAAAAAGATTTTGTACATTAGCAGCTAAGACTAAGCCCCAACTTGTTCTGTGAACCATCTCTAAAACTTTGCAGATAACTATTGGATTCACCTATCTGTTAGCAAATGATGTTGTAAACCTCTGAATGGGTTTTACTCAAATGTTCTGAAAGTAATCATTGAGTTGACAGCCACTAACATTTGGACTCAGCCCATTGCAAGGTGTCCACCACAGCCAGCTGACTTTAGAAAATACAAATTTGGTTCTAACCCAGCTGGTTTTACAGATATTGAAGAAAAATTTGAGGTAGTAGTAGCTGACAGTCATTCACAACACAAACTCCAAGTAGATGATGCAAGGTGATATGAGATTATTTTCAAGTTTGACCAAAATGGCTATAACTTTACCAAAGTTAATCATATTCTAAATTTCTTGCATGAAAAAGCAGCAGGTGATATGCACTCTTTTAAAGAATATCAGGCCTTTAGTTTTGTTACTTGTTTTACCTTTTGTGCTTCACATGAAAACGTGTGCATTCATGCCTCTATCATTGCTTCATATCACTACTTTTTCTTTGTGGCATACAGTTTCCTGTCAAACAGCATCCAGTAATATAATTTTGGCAATACAATATTTCATGTGGATTTCAACACTTCACTTTCAATGCTAATGTAAGGGTGATATCGTGCACCTGAGTCCTTTACATACAGTTTTTGCCACAAAACCCAACCAGGCAAGCTTGTTTTTTTTGTTTTTTTGCCCTCTTCTTTAATAAACCATATCCTTGCAGTGTTTGCTCCTACTGGCAGGGGCTGGGGTGTGATTTTCGAAGTGTGATCTGGACAAATAAAGTTGTGGTTTGCACCTCAGTCATCTCCCAGACATCACAAAGGTTACAGAGTAGATAAATAGGAGTTCTAACTGGTTTATAGGCTTGTAATGCTCTTTTGGTTTCCATATTACAAACAGTTCTAACCAGATAAAATGTTAGCTAGTTGCATTAACTGAATAGTTTTTTTTTCTACAAAATAAATTAATGTTATGACTCAGGTCCAAGTTCAGCTCTGCTGCTTCACACTGAGGTGACGTGCCAGTCCTGCAAAATGCCATCCAACACTTTGCTCAGTTTTTTACTGCCAAATGGTTACCAACGTGCTGAGTAAGCGATATTACACGGAATTTATGGTGAATATGTTTGTACTTTTAGTTAAAGAGTGGACTTTCCTCTTAGTTTAGTCTCATTTTTTTAATTCTAAAGAATAGCAGAATTACAAACAATGAGAATGAACAGGTTGAAGAGGCTCAAAGAGGAAAAAATGGCAGATGTAAAACCAAACGGGAGAACTAAAAGAAAATAAATGTCTTAAGTGATTTTAATGTAAAGGTCATTATATAGTAGTTTTCATCTTATCTGGCTATAAAGAACATGACAAATGATCCAAGCTACTAAGGATTCAAATGAAAAATTTCTGTGTCGTAAAAATGACTAATATAAATTTGATGAAAACGGAATGCCTAGCAGCATGTTACACCGTACTTAGGAGAAAACATTGTCTTTTCTTATATAACATTGCACTATGAACATTGAGATGATTATTTCCTCTAAGTAAGACTGAAAACAGAACCTGATTAGTGGGTTTCAAGCAGACACTCCTTCAGTGTTGCAACTGTCATTTCATTAAAACTTATGCAAACATTTATGATGTAAAATAACATGTAGCATCCACACAGAACACATTTAGCGTGTCTTGTAAATACGAATGCATTTGATCAATTTTAAAAACTTTTTTGGAATCAACATAAAAGCAGTATTGTAATATGATCATATTTATCAATAAAAACACGCAGTTTAGAAGTTCTAAGAGTTGATTTTATTGTTGTAGTCCAACAGTTTTTAGTAATTCACTGCCTGTCTGTCAAAGTAACCTCATCCCGTTCAAATAATGAGGTAAATTACAGCCATTATAAAAGCTATTGAAGAAACATTTGTAAAAGTAGATGAATAAACTATGCTGAATGAATGAATCACTCGTTTCCTGTGCGCGTCCTCGATGTTGTAAAAAAAATCATGTGACTGCGCGTCCCCGCGGCGCCAGTGGGAGGAGCCAGTGACCCTTCATGAGGTAACATTGTCTCGGAGAAGAAGCTCTTATCCAGCGTGGCACTATTTTTTATACAAAAAGCAGTCTCAGGATTTAGTCGTTGAGACTTTAATTTTGGGGGCACGAAATAGACCCAACAGAAGCTCTTATGTAACTCCCTGAGGATCCACGGATTTACATCTTTTTGAAAATCGTGGGATTGTGGTTCATTTTGTCGACGCGCCGGATACAGTTTGACGCCGATAGAGAGGCTCAACTCCAGCCCAATCGTCCTGACATGGACACAGGAATTATACCTGAAAAGAAAAGGTAAGGTCGCAGCAACTTATGCTCATGCCGTATTTTTTTTATATTTAAAGCCGCTGCACAGCTCGAGTCTTGTTTGGTTTTAGTTACCTCACGTGACAACACGGCCTTTATTTCAAGGTTAACTGCTGGTTTGCAGTTGGTTTGTCTGCTAGCTGTTAGCATGCGGCTAACGCAGCTAAGTAGTTCGTCAAATGTAGGCTGTTGTTCCATTTAACAGATAGAGCGGTTCATTTTAGCGTTTCAACCCGATTGTACCTGTATTAAATAGTTTTAATTACGTATTCTGTGCGTGCTGTGTTAGTTTAAATGTAAGTAGCCGTGACTTCCTCGTGCAAGAGAAAAGGTATTTACTTTATTGACTGACAGATAGTGTTAAATATGGATTCTGTAAATAATAAATCAATGGAGGTGCACTGTTTTGTTTTGATAATACTCAGAAAAGTTGCCTTGTGTAAGCAAAATGCTGGCTTTTTTTTTGTGCTAAAACATAATAAGTCCTTTTTTTAAGTTTGATCAGAAGAGTAAAATATTACCTTGTCAGCCATTGCAGTAGGAAAGCATGATGTAAAGGGATTAACTCTACTCATCAGCAAAGTGTGGAAACATCTTATTAGTGGCTGCTAACTTTGACCATGAGGCCAAGAGTACATTGACCACAGAGGATTAGTGGATCTAGTTGCTCAAAATAAATGGCTGTATCTTTCAAGGGATGCTCACTGCAAACCCTGTAAGGCAAGGCTTGGAGAGCAACCGGTTTTGTTACGAAAACATTTACTAGGTCTTATTTGAGTGTGAGCCAAGAACAGGACTGCAAAACATGTCCTCAAATGACTTTTTAAAGCTATAATCTGCCCTTTAATGTGTAATATTCATGTTGACGCCTAATCCTGGGTCCAATTCATGCAAAATTCAAGAATTTATGGTACATTCTACATTGTTAGTTATTAATAACACAAGTAAAACGCTCTTGAAACTTGCCGTAATCTTTCAACTGAGTATGTTTCGAAGAACAACAACTATTTTCCCATTTTCAAACCTACCTTTTTAAAATTTTAATAATAATATTTTCAGTGGAACAAACACAAGAGATGAGCTTTGTGAACACTTGAAGGATATTTGACATGTTGTAATGGCTTGTAAACGCTTTGGTACCTGGCTTCGTATTGGTGCTTTGTGATGCTGATTTGAAAAATCAAATTGCTTGCTAATTTTGCTGGAACAGGGGCGGCACGGTGGTGCAGTTAGAGCTGTTGACTCTCAGCGAGAAGGTTGATGGTTTAAATCTCAGCTGGGGACCTTTCTGAGTGGAGTGCGCATTTTCTCTCCGTGCATGCGTGGTTTTTCTCCAGGTACTCCGGTTTCATCCCACAGACTAAAAACATATATGTTAGGCTGATTGGTAACTCTAAATTGTCCCTAGGTGTGAGTGAGAGAGTGAATGGTTGTCTTGTTTGTCTCTGTGATGGAGTTGCGACTTGTCCAGGGTGTCTCCCGCCTCTCTCACAGTGACTGCTAGATGTGGGCACCAGTGACCCCCTGTGACCTGAAAAGGAAGAAGTGGGCAAAAGATAATAGACGGATGGATTTTGCCGGAACACGAATGCCAGATGCTTCTGAAGAAAGACCTATGTCTGAGACATTTTAATTCGTGCCAGTAAATTCTGTTAAATGATCAGACTTTTTTTCACTGATAAATACTTGAAACTGTTGTGATATACTTGATATTGAGGATCTGGTGATGTGACTTTTGCATATACTCACATTGGGATCACATTACCGGTACCGGATCAAAATATTTAACACCCTCACTATAAAAGACTTGGTTGTTTATTCAAGCTGTCCGTCAAGCCTTACAGTGCATCAACTCTATGATGAAGCTTCATTATTAGAAAAGATTTCCATTAGTCACTATTAAATAGGATCTCAAACTAAACATTATACTAATGCAGGCTGTTTATTTCCACCCAACCTGATCCATTACATGTAGAGCCACATGCAAAGCTTATGCTCAGCCAAATATCATTTCCTGTTAAGGCGCATAATCCATTTACTGCAGGAAGAACGTGGTCAGGTTGGTTAATACAGTGGCAAAGCCTGCACATTATCTAAAAAATGGTCAGTTTAAAAAGAAATAAAAAATATGGCCCTAGTGTCACAAGGGAAAGACCTCCAGTCACAGGAGTGAAGAGAAAGTGGAGTAAAAAAAGACAATTTTATTTATTTATGTTTTGTTAAATCAAGTTCACATGATGGCCATTGACCTGCAGTTCTTAACCTTTCTACTTGAAGGCGTTGCCCCAGTGATGTTTTATGTTGTCAAGGGGCTTCACTCCGTGTTTGCTTAGAAATTTTGCACCCTGTGAGATAATCCTGGCAAAGTATAAGCATTGTTTTGGCCTTTTAATAAATGTGTGTAGGGTTTGGTCCATGTGCTATAGACTGGTTTAATGTAGTTTTAACTGGTTTCGTTGAGGTGTCTTGGTAATGCCTCTGCCTCATCCCTTAATAACTGGGGCTTGACGTCAATAGGAGTGGCCAAATGTGTGTAGCGATTCACTGGTTGGCAATTAGCAGGTTGCTCTGAGGGATTCGAGCAGCAGGCCAGTTAGAACTTGAAACTGGTTGCTTGCTTAACCAGAGCACAGAGATGTTTTGGTTTGTGGTTGATAACGAAAGTGCGTGTGGATGACCTACTTTTACCTAACACTTAAATCTTTGTTGAATATGTTTGTTTTTCATAACTGTGTTTAAAAAGCATGTTCTGGTTAACCAAATGAGAAATGTGGGCTTCATAAGCGTTAAATAGGCAATCCTGACTGATGATTTAAAAAAAGATAAAAACCTGTAAAGATATGGGTCGAGAAAACCTGCGGCGGTCCTTTACCAGTTTCTAAAGATACAAAACTGCCACGATCATGTGCATCTGGAAATTCTTCTTGATTAATAAATTTAGCACGGTTGTTAGGAGTTTGCAATGTCCAAACAATGCAAGGAAGGATGTATGGAAAAAATATCTCTGTACATATTCGTCTTTCCTTCCTTGAACTAATTAGCAGTCTGGCGTCTGCTTAACAAAAAAAAAAGGTTTACTTTTACGTCACGCTTTCTATTTTTGTAATGCACACTTTGTAATGTCAGTCTACACTAAAGTTATTTTATTGTAATCAATGTTTTTGCCTGCTAGTTTTAGTGGAAATAAAGTTAAGGAACACATGAGAATGCCAAAGTAAAAGTTCAGTTTTAGTCTGATTGTACCAACATGTGGCTCAAACTGAACTAACTAAAAACTTGTAACTTTAGCAGATGGTAATGAGTTACACTCTCATTTTGATCTTGTTAGATGTGAATACCTTTAACTTCAACTGACAACTTGGCTGAGTATCCCACAATGGATATTAATAGTTTGCCTTGGAGTGACAAACAATTTGAAAGTGGTGTAAATTTGCCAGCTTCTGAGTTTTTACGTTTTATTTCTTGTGTCTTATTGTGGTATCTTTTAGAAACTTTGGGAGTTTTCATACAAACAATGTGCAACAGCTAGATAGTAAAAATAAATCAAATTTAGGTGAAGAGTTGGCTTTAGCCCTATTCGCATGGGATTAGTTTTACCTAGGGACCACATGCTATTTGTAATAATTACGGAGATTGTCTGTGTTGTTAATCCCGTGCGAATCGGTCATGTCAGTAATTTGTAAAGTAAAAATTCCTCCGCAAATTACCTACTATATTTTGCTGAACTCCGAGGTCCTGTGATAATACTCATCCAATACGAATATGCATCTTTGTGATTTGTACAGAAGTGGGCGGGATCCGATACGTAATGACAGTTTTTGTTTAAGCAAAATCATTTGGAAAAATACAGAACAAGGCTATTTTAAATGAAGACGCTGCTCACTTTGGCTTTGGTAGATGCTGCTACTTCTTTCACGGCAAATGACAGCAGGTGCGGGGACGCGTGTGTGATCAGCTCATCCATCCATCCATTATATTTACCTGCTTCTGCTTTTTTGGGTAGCGGGAGTCGCTGGTGCCCATGTCCAGCCTTCGCTATGCGAGAGGCAGGGGACACCCTGGACAGGTCGCAAGTCCATTTCAACTGGCGGGTCAGCGGCTGCGTGTCCATCTGAGCTTAACGTGGCTTTTTTTCACCTCATAAACCATCCAGTCAGACCTGCCTCCTCCTCACCAAGTAGATTAACGCACTTTTATACTGTGCATTCTTATTTAGTTTTATTTTTGCTGATTTGTAAAACCACATCAAAGCCTGAGACAGACCCGGCCCGCACATTATATGGACTGGTCCGGTCATGTTAACGCATTGCGTTAACATCATATCTGGAAGATGTCCATAAAGTTCAGCTAAATCTCAGGCTTTGGTTATCCCGTGCGAATGCGCCACATAAAAAGCAGACGTTGGGGAGTAATTTATTTATTACATGCAGTCCCTAGGTAAAACTAATCCCATGCGAATAGGGCTTTTTACTAACTGAATGCAATGCAAACAGAATTATACAAACACACTGTTAAAGCATTCAACTTCCAGGAAGAGTGTGCCTTTATTTACAGTAATTCACCATTACCTCATGCTGTAACTCTGTTATTCTGTTTTTACAACTGAGTGTAGTTTATAGCAGCTTCACAGAATTGATCCAAAAAAAGTATTTAAACTCTTACCCTTTGAAAGAAAAATTAAATGACCAGAATTGTATACAGCTTAATTTAATGCAAAATGGGTTTATTTTCTTATTTGATTTTGTGTGAGTACTAGACCATCTTCAAGCTGGATTATATAACAAAACTGTCTTCACACAGAGCAGGACTGAGCGGTGGGGAGAGCATTCCTCTTGTGAAATAGGTCAGCCTCTAGTAACGGAACAGACGAGCAACTCTGATAGCATTGGTTAAATACATTTTCATTGGCCTAAAGTCCACATTGCCACATCTGCAAACTTTAATGTTAGCTTTTAAACCCTCATTAACAAAATAAAGTCTGAATTGCAAGTGGGACTGCAAACTAAATGTGTGAGGCAGAAAACTGCTGTGCCTGCAGTGGATTAGCAGCGTTATGTAACGGTGGACTGTGCTTGTCTTTGTTGGACGGTCTTGCTTTCAATGCACAGCTCACAAAAAAAAAAACTATCAAATCTAACGGGCCACTTGGTTTTGATTTGAAATATACATATTTTTGGCACATTACTGCGTTTTATCCAGCAACAAGTTCTTTTATTCCACTCATCTGCTGTTTGGGTACAGATAAATTCACCACTTGCATAATGGATTTGGCAAATTAGAAATACAGAAATACTTTCTGCCGCTGCGTGTGGGGTTGTGTTCTAGAGAAATGTCACAGGATGTATTTTCTATATATGGTTAAATGTGTCACAGGATGGTTTTTTTTGTTAAATGTGTCACAGCAGCTAAAATAAGTAAACAATTTGTAGAAAGGCTGATATGTACATATTTATTAGTTGTCATTTTGAGTTCAAAGTTCATAGGGTTGTTTGACTCTTTGTTTACTCAAATGACTTTCCCAGTGGGTGGTATATGTGCAACAACTTTTAAAATATTTATCAGTTCTTTAATTTTCTCAATGCTGATCATGGTGATTGTCACGACATGCGTAAAAGATTCAAACTTTGATGAGAGAAAAGGTGTTGACGCTGTCATAAATTGCTGTGATACTCCGTAGAGATGAGAATCGAGGCACATGTTCATTTAATCATGATTCAGAAGGCTACAATGTGATTATAAAACAATTATTTATAAATTTTGATTAACTTTAAACAAATGACTCTGGCTTATTTCACATAAAAAACAGGTTTATTTATTTTATGTCTCATACAGAGGGCCCAGAACACACATGCTGACAAACATTTTGTGTAGATGCTCACTTAACATTAAGAAAATTAATGTGATTCATTGTTTTACCACTGTAAATGTATACACACATCAAAGGCTTTAAATGAATTACTAATGTCAGTCCTCTTGTGATTACTTCAGGCACATGGCAGCCCGGTGGCTCAGTGGTTAGCACTGTTGCCTCACAGCAAGAAGGTCCTGGGTTCAATCCCTGGTTGGACCGGGGGTCTTTCTGTGTGGAGTTTGCATGTTCTTCTCATGCTCACGTGGGTTTTCTCCAGGTACTCCAGTTTCCTCCCACAGACCAAAAACATGCATGTTAGGCTGCCTCCAGGCCTCCCTTGCAAAAGAGATCTGTGATATCAATGGGATTTGCCTGGTTACATAAAGGTTAATAAATAAATTTTAGTCCAAGACAAAAAGATGTGAATGCACAGCTTTACTGCTACATGTTTCTACTACAGGAATCTACCCTAACGCTACTAGAACAGATGACAACATTCAGCAACTGGAGTAGTCCCTCGATTATCGCGGGGGTTACGTTCCACACACCAACGTGATGGGTGAAAAACTGCGAAGTAGGAACACTATATTTATTTTTGTATTTACATATATAAAGTTTTATAAACCCTTCCCACACTCTTGCATTGTTCTAAACTCTTAAACCTACAGTATTTTAACAACATATGTATATGTACTGTACAGTACTGCAAAATTTTACTCACCAGCTCTGCAGAACAGCAGCTCAGTTCTGGTTCAAATCTGTTCCGGTTCAGCAGACCTACCCTGCAGCGATGAAGCCCACCGCCCGATCCAGGTTGATGTGGGTGTGGGTAATTGAGATTCAGGATTATTTGTGACTTTCCTGCCAGTTCTGTGAGCTTGATAGATAGTTACTTCTGAATTTGGGTTGCAAAAGTTTCCCTCCATTTTGGCACAAAGCAGCGGCTGGAAGCACTGTTAACGTCTGGGTAATGTAGTTCTTTTGACTTGCGTTACTGTGTAGGCTTTTTGAAAGAAAACTACAAAATGTCCGAAGTATATATTTTTTTCCGTTAACTTTTTATCTCGTACCGTCCCAATCATGTAATATTAAAGTTGACAATCATGTGTTATGTACAATCTTACGTTGAAAAACCGCGAAAGAACGAGTCCGTGAAAGTCGAACTGCGAGGGGCGACTGTACTCTGCTGACACTTAACGTGGCAGCACAGATTGTTAATAAAATAGATTTTTGACATTCAAAACCTGATTCTGTATCTTCCATGTTCACGTTGCAGTGCATTTAAAAATAATTTTGCCTCGTAACCGTAATACTTCGATATTCTGACAGGAAAATTTATTCTTATTTATCAAAACTGTTGACGGAGAAACAATGAAGTCCTTCTGTGTGATCAATGATTTGCTAAGGTGTATAAATATGTACACACGTAATATGAAAAACGTTTTAGCTACATCAGCTCCAGGTTTGTGACAATGATCTGCCTCACACTTGAATATCTTTTAACCTCGTAGGATTACTTGTTTGTGCTGCTGAGTGGTTTGCACAACACGCATGTAATGGAAAGCTTTCATGTAAAACGTAGCCTTCCAGTTGATGTGATTTGTAGCAGACTAATTTTAATTAACTGCTCTATTTTCAGCTTGTGAGCAGATTTAAGAGCTGCTCAAATAAAATGTCCCACATGGTTTTGTTTGGGTGTGTGTGTGTTCTTTTCTCATCGCTTGTCCCTGTAGATTTGTTTGACCAAGTTTGTATGCGTGACAGTGATTGTTGCACCGTGGCTGGCCTCTGTACCAAAACACAGATTACTCCTCCCTGACAAATCACTTGTATGTGTGTGGGCTCTGTTTGTTTTGGTCATCAGCCAGGTGCAGATGTCCATCTTCGTGAATGTGTCTCGTGTGTTCAAACAGTAGCAGGGTCATAAGGCAGCTTGTTGAAGGCCTCAGCTGCTGGATTCAGCCTCCGCAGACATTCAGTTCGAAAGAAGGGAGGTTTACTTTAGTGAGTAGAAGATCCAGCATGCGGCTGACCTACCTCCTGTCTGTCTCCTGCAGGGTGAGCTCAGAGCGCAGGAAGGAGAAGTCGAGGGATGCAGCGAGATGCCGTCGTGGAAAGGAGTCAGAGGTGTTCTATGACCTGGCCAAGCAGCTGCCCCTCCCCCACAGCACCGGCTCGAGCCTGGACAAGGCCTCCATCATGAGGCTGACCATCAGTTACCTGCGCATGAGAAAACTACTCTGCACAGGTTAGTACCTGTCCGCATCTTTTCCTCATCTCTAACTGCAGTGATAAAATGCAAGTATAAACCATCTTAGTAAAGGAAAGGGCAACATAAAGAAAGTGAGAGTCCTCAGACAAGTGGAAGTGGAAAAGTGGGGGAAGTACCGAACCTTCTGCTCGGTCCAAACACACATATAGGTTACTTTGTAAATACACGTGTGTAATTTATTTTCCTCCTGTGTGAATATAAATGCTTTTCAACAGATTTCTAACATTTTCCTAATCTCCATTGTTTTGTTTTTTACCCCTACTTTTCATTTATCTCTCCTTGCACCCCGTTGCTTTCATCTCCTCTAGATGAACCAATGGTAGAGAATGAAACCGAGCTCGATATTCAGCTAAACGGCTTCTACCTAAAGGCACTGGAAGGCTTTCTAATGGTGCTGTCTGAAGATGGAGATATGATCTATCTCTCCGAGAATGTCAACAAGTGCCTCGGGCTTGCACAGGTTGGTCTGAAATGACTCCATATGTCAGAGGAAGGGAATTTGAAGGGGAAAAAGCTCAAATATTTGGGTTTAAAATTAGGTTTGTTCAGTCTGTTGCATAACATTGTATTGTCAATAAAGTTACAGTTGTGTAGCTGCTGTTTTAACACAAGATATGCACCGCTGCTAACTTGATGTACAGAATATGTGAACTGTCAGACTCTAAAGTTGCCGTTTTGGTTTGTCTATCTGCAGTTTGACCTGACTGGACACAGTGTGTTTGACTTCACACATCCCTGTGATCAGGAGGAGCTGAGAGAGATGCTCATCTACAGAACAGGTGAGCAGCGTCGCACTGAATAATGCAGCTTTTGACTGAAACAGAGACACACACAGAGAGAGCTCTCAGTCAGGTCTGTTTGTGCTTCAAATGATAAAATCCACTTGACTCTGCAGTGACAAATCCATAGTTGGACAAATTTAGCATCTTTCCACTCCTGTTCTTAAAGTGATTAGTCATCTTGTTTGGATGACACATTTTAATGGTAAACTTTACATTTGTTTACCTTTTTTTTTTTTTTAATACATTTTTTTTAATGTAATTCTCTGCAGAGTTTTAGTGCAAAGTTTTGCTTAAACTTCCAAAACTCTCATTTTAATCTGTTGCTCATTTTCTGTCTCTACACACTGATATTGTCTCAACTGTCACTGCTGGTAATGTTACTTCCTTTTTATCTCTTTGTAACTCACCACATTGCAGCAGTTTACAGCCTAATGGTGCCACTTTATGCAAATGTTAACTTTTGTCAGTTTGCAAAATGGAGACAGAGGAAAAAAACACTCCAATATGTGAAAATAACATAAATTGAAGGCTTGCTTGATTTAACCACAGCTCTATATCTGTTCTTTTGGGGATTTCAGGCTCTAAGAAAGTCAAGGAACCAAATACAGAGCGGAGCTTCTTTGTCCGGATGAAATGCACCCTGACGAGCAGGGGCCGCACCGTCAATGTTAAGTCCGCTACGTGGAAGGTAGGCTACAGAGAAACGAACACACAGAAATGTGCTGAAAACAAAACTGTTAGCATGTTCTTCCGGCAAGCAATGATGCTTTTTGTTGCTGTTTTAATGCGTAGGATATGTCTAGTTTCCCTGTGTTGTTCCCAGCCATGAGATGTTTAAGGTTCAAATACTTTTAGTGGCAAGAAAATCCACAGGTCAGAATTTTGGAACCTTTTCAAAACAGTGTGATGTTCACAAGTCATTACAGTAATAAAACTCGTAGAAGATGACACTGAAAGAATGAGGTTTGTCTTTATATAAGTTTGTTGTATTCATAAGGGTGACATTTTAAAAATTATTTCACAGTCTTTTGCACAGTACAAAATAACTTAAAAATTGCCTTTTATATTTACTAGACAGAGATTTCTTCCTTCAAATGGTTATTTCACTCAAATGTATTATATTTTAAAGATGTCAGCACATTTAGCCTTTAAATACAATTTGTCATATTTTCTCATTTATTGAATTACATTTCTCACCATACCTTATGGTATTGTTCCAACAATAAACAAGCGTAGCGCACACAACCAAAACCTAGTTTATTTTACTGTAATCTGGAATTTGCAGATATTCGTGATAAACACTTTGACATTTTCACATAGAGAACATCATGACGGTTTAAAAGAAACGTTAAACGGAGAATGCCGTTGCATCAATCCTGAGCATTCACACGTTTTAGTACTAATATATAGTTTGATTCCAAGAACTAAAGCTGCAGAAATCATTAAGTTTACCTGAGAAAGTGCCTCAAACAGGCTGTGTGCACTCCTGCAGCAAACATGTATAAATGTTTATTTATTTTTTTTTTTTACATGACATGATCATGGTGGGCCGCACTCCTTGGAAACACTGCAGTTAGAGATGTTAATATTTTTAACTAGTAGTTTGTCAAATAAATGGAAACTACAGTAGTATAAATTGTTGAAATACTTATTGTCAAGTCAATCATAATCATATATAAAAAGTTTATATATGGTAGAAGTAGATGTGGGGATTTTATTGTCAACAGAGGAATATTTTTCAGCCAATAAGATATTTTCAAATTAAATCTTTTTAAGACTTTTCTATGACTACTTTTTTTTTTTTTTTTTGTAGTTGCAGTCATTGCAGACTTAAATGACAACTCACTTTCTCAAAACCCTGAATGATTTTTATTTTATTTTATTAAATAAATGTTTAAAGAACTCTATTCTTCTGCATTTGAAAAGGATCCAAGGTCAACATGTTTTAAAGGTCGCGACCCTGCCGGTTTGTTTCTGTAGGTGCTTCATTGCTCGGGTCGTGTGCACGTTCATGACAGTCACGCTGAGCCGACCACCGAGGGGCAGAAGGAGCCTCCGGTCCCATACCTGGTTCTGATCTGTGATCCCATCCCCCACCCTTCCAACATCGAGGTCCCTTTGGACACGAAGACCTTTCTCAGCCGTCACACGATGGATATGAAGTTCACATACTGTGATGACAGGTTAGTTCAGCTGTCTTAGTCAATATATACCGTATTTTTCGGACTATAAGGCGCACTTAAAATCCTTTAATTTTCTCAAAAATCCACAGTGAACCTTATAATCCGGTGCGCCTTATGTATTAATTCTGGTTGTGCTCACCGACCTCGAACCGATTTTATGTTACAACTGAACAATGATGAGTTATTGTGAACGAGTTGAATAAACGTATCCGTTTTGTTTCGCCGAATGCGCCTGAACGCACAAAAAAAGATTTCACACAGTGTTTCACACACGTTAAGAATGTTGGAAGTGTGCGTAAATGCACACAAACTTTTTCAACCTGCCGTGAGACCGTGCATATCACAACGCCAACTTTTTCACTCGACAATATGAAACTGAAAAATACTGAAACTCGTCTAAAAATGTGACTCCATGTTTCATACACGAGGCCCCGGGTACTAAAACGATCCTTTTTTTTTCTTTTTTTTAACAGGATCACAGAACTCGTGGGTTATGATCCAGAGGACCTGCTGAATCGGTCTGTGTATGAGTACTATCACGCTCTGGACTCGGACCATCTTACCAAAACGCACCACCACTGTAAGAAGAACAAAAAATACTTTGCTGAATTTCACAAACCTTGAATTTTGACCAACAGCGTTGAAGTCTATCCTTTCTTCCTTCCGACCTTTTGTTTTTATTATTGTTAGTGTTTGCTAAGGGCCAGGTCACCACGGGTCAGTACCGAATGTTGGCAAAAAGAGGGGGCTTTGTATGGGTGGAGACACAGGCCACCGTCATCTACAACAATAAGAACTCACAGCCACAGTGTGTCGTGTGCGTCAACTTTGTGCTCAGGTACTGCAGTCTCTTTAACTAGTTCCATACGTTTTCTCCCACAAGAAATATTTGAAGACTAGTTTTACGTTTTGGTTTTATTTAACAGCGGGATCCAGGAGAACCAACTAATCCTGTCTTTGGAGCAAACTCAGGATGTGAAGCCGGTGAAGGACGAAGAAGAAGAAGAAGAAGAAGAAAATGTTGAGATTGAGAGCAGCATCACTGTCCTGGTGAAGAAAGAGGAGAAGACTCCACAGCTGGATGTGGTCAAGCTCTTCACAGAGATGGTGGGGCCTGGACCAGTGGGCACCCTCTACGAACGGTTCAAGCATAATTCTGAGGCTCTCACCCAGCTGGCACCAGCAGCTGGGGACACATTCATCTCGCTGGACTTCAGCTGTCCTGGTTAGTGTCCACATAATCTTAGAAAAGTTATACTTCTGTTTATACTTAAAAAAAAAAATAACCATTCCGATCTGTATTTCCGTTCAGGTACAGAATCGAACGTCCACGTGCTGAAAGATGATCCCCTCTACAGTGACGTGATGCTGCCCTCCACAAGCGACAAGTTGACTCTGCCTTTGTCCCCTCTGCCCCCAAGTGAGGCTTTTACTGTCTCCAACACCCCCTCTGAGGAGGTAAAGTCTGAGAACTTTGCTCCAGCCCCAACCACCACTCCTCCCCACGTTTCTTCTGAGGTAAAATATTTTTTAACAGTCTGAAAGACAACTGTTATTTTGTCACTTATTTTTAACAGAAAACGAGTTAAAATGTGACTTTTTTTCTTTTCAGGCAGAAAATCCTTTAGGCTTTTCTTTCCCCATAGATTCAGACATGAACTCAGATTTCAAACTAGACTTGGTGAAGTTTTTTGCCGTTGACCCAGAATCCAAACCCCACTTTAATACACAGGTAAGGTTCTGCACCTGTATGTACATGTACTGTAAGTCATCTTCATTATATTAATGTTATGGTACAATATAATGTGATTAATGTATTTTCACACCATCTTCCTCCAGAATGCTGCATCTTAATACAATTGTGGCTTCTAAATGTATCATAGGTGTTCATGTCCATTCTACTGCACATGCCTAAATGAAAAATGGATAACGAAACTCACATTTTCCCCTTCAGCCAATGGAGGACTTGGATCTGGAGATGCTGGCGCCCTACATCCCCATGGATGACGACTTCCAGCTGCGCTGCCTCACTCCGGACGAGCCTCTCACTTGTGGACCAGTCAAATCTCTTGAGACGTCTCCAGTCCTCATCAAACAGGAAGCCCACAGCTATCCCAAATCTCTATTCAGTCCTTCAGACAGTCGCACAGTTTCTCCAGCACCACCAGAGCCTGTCAGTACGCTGTCTCCAGCCACCATAGACTTGGCTAGGTAAAATCTCCCAAACGCCACTTTGATGCTTTTAAAAAAAATAATAAAAAAAAACATTTATGTAACGTTCATACATAAATGTGATGTGATGGATAATTGTTTTGCTGCAGGGCTCCTGACGTGGAGAAAACCGTGTCCCTCAGAACGCCGGCAGCTCAGAAGACGCAGCGTAAAAGAAAACTGAGTGAACTCAAAGAGATGATTGAACAGGTTTGTCTGATGGCTCAGAATCAATTTGTAGAGTGCGCAAGAGATGAAACATCTGTATTTAATATATTTTTTTAATTATCAGGGAAATTTGCCCCTAGATCAACTTGAGAAGGGCAAAAAGCTGAAGGCGACAGAGCCAGGAGTAACCGTACTTCTTCTGCCTTCAGGTGAGCAAACCAGATCTTTGCTACAGTCCAATGTTTCTTAAAGCAACACCTTACTCATACCTGTCTTTATGTCTTAAGACGTGGCGAGTCGATTGCTCGCCACCTCTTCAGACAGCACCAGCCCCCTCTCTACCCTGCCACATCTCACCAGCTACGACTGCGAGGTGAACGCCCCCTTGCAGGGCCGTCAGTACCTGCTACAGGGGGAGGAGCTGCTGCGTGCTCTGGACCACGTCAACTGAGTCCGTACTTTACTGCTGGACTAGACTGGACACTACAATTAGTCCCCCACATTGTCACTCCCTCTCCAAGAACCCCACCTACTTAACCCCACTGCCACTTCTGTATGAGTTCGACCTATAGTTTGGCTGCTGTTTGTGCACATTGTTTGATATTTGCAGCATTCCACCGTGACAAACACCATAGCAGCGTTTTGGTTTAAGAAATTCAGGCATCATACAACATAATTTTTTTATTTTTATTCCTCTTCTGGGGAGTCTCAGCACACAGCGCCTTGACGGATGACCCTTCTCCAGCAGGTCAGAGCCTGGCGCTACTGCCAGCAGTGTATTGTAAGCTTCGGTCGCACAACTTCTATTTTCTTAAGAAGAAAAAAAATATTACCAGCAATATATATTAAGCCTTTTTAAAGTAGATTTAATGGAATACGAACAGTTTTTTTTCCTCCCATACTTGTATGTTGTAGTACTCGTACCTAAAAGATTTCTTTAATCCAAAAGTTAAAAAAAAAACCAGTTTAAACCGTAAGTGGTTTGAATGTTCTCTCCAGTTAATAGCTGTGTTTGAGCTAAAAATGTTTAATTGTGTAGCCCAGTACATGTCACTTTATTATTTCACTGTAAGTGTGTGTTACTGTACATATACCAGGGAAATTTGAAATGTACTTAATATGGCTTCACGGCTCAGTGAAATCAGCTTTTTCACATTCGTTTCCTTTCTTATGCAGGATTGGGATTTATTTTTTTTACATGAAGTGGATTCATGTTGTCAGTTATTTGTGTGACATGCTCAAAGCAATTTAAAATTGAATCTTTTGCTCATCATTGTCATCATAGCAACCTTTGTAATAGTGACTTATTTACTCACTGAATGGTAGTTTAAATACCATTGCTCTTTTGCCATAGTGTCGAGTCTCTCATGCTACTTTTTGCTGTTTAACAATAAATGGCTTTAAAAAAGTGCACCGTTGTAAGAATCATTTTATTATTTTAAAATGAATGCATTTTTGGTGTTAATTGAGTTTGCAAAGATAAAAAATGACCTGAAAACCCAGGCATAAATCATCTAATGCTCCAAACAGTTTGAGAAATGACAATTTAAGAAAAAGCATTTCTTAAACGAGTAGCAGTAATTATCAATAAACTATTGGAGAGCAAATAAAATCACATTTAACCAAAATAAATCCCTTTGACTACAACCATTAATTGGTTTCACAGTTTTTCCTCCTCTAACCATGTGGTCATCCGCTCGTGAAGCTCACTCTATGTATTCAGGAATCACTTGAAGCAGAAGCAACTCGTTTTCTCTCTGCACCAACATGTTGATGCTGCTGCTGCTGCTGCGGACGGCCTTGTAGATCTCCTCAGAGGTGTTCACTTTCTCCCCGTTTATCTCAACCACGACGTCTCCTGGTAGCATGCCAGCTCTAAAACAATGACAGCAGTTGCATATAATCAGATATTTCATTCAGGAATTTCCACACGTTGAAAACATTCTGGAGGTGAATTGCTGCGAATAAATGGGAACTTTGTTGACGCCGTACGAACCAGGATTAAATTTAATACAAATGTAATACTTGCCAGGAAATTAGTATATTTCCCACTCAACCTTTGTGGTGTTAAAGTGCTTCAACTATTTATTACCTGTTGGCCGGTGAGCCTGCGATGACTCTGTGAATCAGAACGCCATGCGTCACGTTCGGGAAGGACCGGTCTCTCATCTTCAACTCCGCGATGATGCTAAAATGGGCGAAACAAATGGCGCTCAACCGCTGCAGTGCTGTCACCATCAGCACTTCTGACAGATGAATTACCTCGGCGTCAACGTCAGCATCATAACTCCGATGTATCTGGGCTTCGTTCCCGATTCACTGAACCAAGAAGCTGAATAAACGGTAAACCTTTGAATTAACCGTCTCCATGAGAATCTAAAGCTTTTGCTTCATCTATACTTACTTTTTCTTTTCGACCCTTGCTCGAGAAAACGTCTCACGTGATCAGATGGAATAGCGAATGAGATCCCTGCAGTGACCTTCATGGTGTTTATACCGATGACTTCCCCATCCTGAAACAAACAGGTATTTATAAAATAATAGTTGACACAGTTTATTCAAAGTAATGTCTAAAAACCACTTGGTTTAAATAAAACTATTACCGTACTTTTCGCTATATAAGTTGCACCTTTTTTCATAAATTTGCAAGTCCTGCGACTTGTACACTGAAGTGACTAATAAGCTTTTTCCCCATAAATATAACCCAATTTTTGGCTGAGATCTATCAATTTCATTCATTCAGACATGGAAAATATTGAACACTACCATTTTCAGCCACCAGAGGGCCCTCAACCATTATGGCAAGTCAAGTGTCTCATTAAAAGGTAAAAGTTGCTATTAATGAGACACTGGGCTTGCCATACAAAGCCACCTTCATCTCGCTCTGGAACTCCTGGAGCAAACGTCAAATCAGCTGCATTTCGCCACCCAGGTGAAATGCAGCTGATTTGACCATTAAAGTGCATTTATTAAGGAAAAGTTCAACTGAGGCACACCTTTACTATAATGTCGAGCAAACAATTGTTTTTAGGTGGTTATCTTGTTAAATTTTGAAGAAATACACAGCGAGTCCTCCCTCTGCGCGCTCCCACAGCCGCAAATCGATTTTTGAAATGCAGCTGATTTGACTGTTAAAGTGCATTTATTAAGGAAAAATTCAACTGAGACACACTTTTGCTATAATGTTGAGCAAAAAAAAAGATTGTTTTTAATTGTTATTCTTGTTAAATTCTTGTTAAAGTCATCCCGTGCACGCTCCTACGGCCGCCATTTGGCAGCCAATCGATTTTTGGCACAGCACCGGCTCACGTTTCTGGGTGGTCAGCAGTGACTCATAATAGATGCAACTTATACAGCGAAGCAACTTATTTATGTTTTTTCCCACTTTATTAGACATATTTGGACTGATGCAACTTATACGGCGGCACAACGTGTACGGTGGAAAGTACGGTACTAATTTCACCACATTACATCTATTGGGACAGTTACAATTAAGTTGAACCCTTCTGTAATGGCTAAAGTATAACCCAATATTAAACAAAAAGATAAATGTTAGCAAAATAATTGCCTTGTTTCTTGGTAGCCATTTTGCTTTTATGCATGTTTGCTGTAAAAATAAGATTAGAGCTATAAACAAAATAACACAACTGCATCGTTTGGTTTTTCGTTCAATGGTTCAAAACTATCAACACTAAATCAGGGCTGTTCGTGGTAAATTTATTTTATTTGTCAAAGGAGTCTGGTGGCATTTAATGTTTGTCCTGACCACAACATTTCTTTGCACATCAAAGAAAACAGAACTATCCCTTTAGCTCTAAGGGTTTATTTACATTTTCAACAAGCAGGACAAGTGTTGATGGGTGTGTGTGCAGGAAAAGGAGCATGTTTGCAGTATTTGTTTTAAATTAGAGCATATGACCAGGTAATTATAAACAGGACACTACAATTCATACTTTTTTCCTACATTGCACAGCATTTTTATATATAAACACTTGACAAGCAGGAAGTGTGACTCACCAGATTAATCAAAGGACCGCCAGAATTCCCAAACTGGAAAAAAAATAATATGAGACATAAAGAGGTTGAGCCAAATCTAATGTTTGTATTTAGAAATCTGTCTTTTTCTGATGCAGGGTAATTTCAGCTATTAAAAAGTGAAACGCACAGCTAAAACTGGATTTAAAAGCACTCACGTCGATGGTTGCATCGGTCTGAATGTACTCCATGTTGGAGTTTGCCAGGCCCAGCTCCTTACTGCCTCTCTGAGCTGAGCTCACGATCCCTGATGTGATTGTGTTCCGCAGAGCGAATGGACTTCCCATGGCGACAACAAACTCTCCTTGTCGAACGTCCGACGACTGAGCGAGTTTCAGTGTTGGCAAAGGATTCTGCAAAGCAGAAGAGAAGAAACTATGAGATGTTGAGATGAAGCTTCACACTTTTGCCCAAATGTTCTCATTGATACGACCAATGGTCGAGTTTCCTGATCCGTTATAGAGTATAGACTTTAAATCAGCCTTTAGTTCCACATTACTTTTCCTACTAGCTAAAACACGGCAAGACTTTATGAACCTTTTTCTGCAGATTGTGTGAATCACAAACATACTTTAATTTGGAAAACTTAGAAGCTGTTTCTTTAAAGAACAAATAAGAAGACAATGGCACAAAACACTTTCAGGCATTATGCACAGTAAACGTTTTTGACCTTGTGACTAATTGAGATTTTGTAAATCTGAGTATCATCTAACAAATCAGGAGACCTTGAGAAGAAAAAATACTTCTTAGCAGAATATGAAAAGATTTATGTCAAATAAATACAAAGTTTGAAAAATTCATGCAGTAAAAATGTCTCAGACTGATACTTTTGAAGTGTATGCCACTATATTTTAATAGTTTTAAACCTGTATCTAATAGTTATATTTAATACATCTTCTTTATATTTGTACATTTTCACCCTGATTCTGATACACTTCAACCTCTGCTTCCTTCATTTGAACAAAAATGAATCCAGCAACACACAAATTCAATTTATTTTTACCGTCTGCTCACCTTTGGGGTGATTTTGATGGTGGCAATGTCCGCCTCGTGATCAACATCCTGCACCGTGGCGTTGTACGTGTCTCCGTTGGTGAGCTTCACACGAACGCCTCGCTTGTTGGCCACAACGTGAGCGTTGGTGATGATGAGGCCGTCGCTGCTGACGATAAAACCTGAGCCATTTGACACCGGGATTTCTCTTCCTGAGAATGGATTTCTGTCAAAAGAACAAAAGCAACTTTTAGAGTGAAAGTAAAATGCATCATTGGCTTATCCTGAGGGGAAAACAAACAAAAACAAAGTGCATAATGTATATGGACCACGCCGTTAATAATCTTTTAAACAACCGTGCAACGAGCTTTTACTGGGAGTAACGTGAGCTTCAGTATCTGGTTCTGTTACGGTTTCTTTATATACACGTTATATTTTTGCTATTTATGGATGTAACTGTGGCCTTGTGTACACAATTTCGTTCCACCTCATGTACCACATGTGATGTGAATGGCAATAAAGAACCTTGAAGCTTATTCGAAAATACGTGAACATAAAGAGGAGCAGGACTGAAAATTCAAACATGTTCCTTATTGAATTCAAGGAAAATGCAGTTTGCTCCATATTCTTTAATATTTTATGCAATTTAGTTTATAGGTTATAGTTTTGATTGCTATTAGACAAGAAAAGGAAATTAATATAATTTGGTTAATGAAAACTTACATGCAACCACTTTCAGCTTCTTTTAGACCACCAAGTATTAATTTTTGAATTAAAGTAAAAAAAAATATATAGATTAAATGATGGGAATATCAAAAAATAGGATAACTTATAAAATATAAATAGTGACTGTGCATTTATAAAAAAAATCTACAACAATCAATTCATTTAAACAAAAAATATTGTTTATTACTTTTTGTTGTTGTTGTTGTCGTTAAGATTGGAGATGTGGAGAAATTATTTTACTGTACTACAAAAATAAATAATTCTTCCAGTGGCTTCATGGAGCATCTTTAACTCTGCTCAGTTTATTTTTGTTTGTTTTTTTAGAGAAAATTTTACTTTTTTGTTTAGCCAAAACAATGGATAAATTATGTTGTATGAATCAACAGCCTTTCATAAACAATAACGGAGAAAAAAACAAATATTGTTTACTCATTTGTTTGTTTACTACTCAGAAAATACTACAATCTGATTCCAGATTTTAAGACTCCATAAAAAACATATTTGTAGTTTATGTGCTTTCAAATGTTTTTACACATTATTGAAGGTAATCGCCATAAATCAATACTTAATCATTTTAAACAAGTGACTTTTTAATGACCTGTGTCAAAAGTGATAGTAAAAGTAAATGGGATTTTTGTTAATTATACTATGGATGTTTCAGTTTCAGCCTCTCTAGTCCTGACTAAATGTGTAAAGATACATTCTCTAGTGGAACTTTTAAATAATTTCATAAACTAAAAATAATCCCTGACATGTAAGACATTAGTGGAGAAAATAAATAATGATAAACTCAGTAAGTGAAGAACTATACTTCAGATTTTTAGGTACTGTACGTGCCTTTTGTGCATATCCAGTTCATACTGTGCTTAAAAGCCAGATGTGATGAAGGGAAAATCATAAGCTATTAAAATACAAAACATTATGACCGTCTTACCCTCTTGACTTTTATATTTAGGCTGTGGAATCTTAAAAAGGGGTCACATTTTATTCGTCTGATTGGGTCAAAACTTTATAGTTTTTCATTCCCTTTCAACTTCACACTTTAACAAATGTTCAGAATATCAGAACAAAAAAATCTAATCAAATTGAGAATCAAGATTTTTTTCTTCCATTCAGTCTCAACTTTTGAGAAGCATCACTCTCTCCTCACAAAGCTGCTGCTTAGATGATATTCTTCAGGATTATCATTTAGTTTATAAATATATATATATCAAGCTTATAAAAGTTCTGTAAAGAGAGTTTTAAGGACCTGAATATTAATTTTCCAATAAATGCTCAACTCACCTGCCCACAATTTCAATATAAACCACAGCTGGGGTGGACTTCTCCACAACATCTGCTATAAAGTTGTATCTGAAGCGAGGGCTGTCAGGTTTGAAGGGCTGAGCACAACGAGCAGAGGGCAGAACGAGTTTTAGAAACCTTCCTGGCACAGAAGTGTCTTCCTGCTCGTCCTTTCGACTGTCCAGAAGCGCCGCGCCGCAGATCCCCAGACCCAAAGACACCGACTTCAACAAGGACGAGTCGCCCTTCCGACCTCCTCCTCCCCAAGCTGGGGATCTTCTTCCAAGGCGCGTGTCTCCCTGTGGTTGTCCGTTTTTACAAACCACAACAGAAGACACCTGGCTGATTGCCTTCAGTCCCAGAGTGTGAGCTTCACGGCTCGGACATTGACCGTGCGTCCTTAATGCTGACAGAAAACACCGACTTACTGCCATGTTGCATCAGTCACTGCTCAAGTTTTTACCCGGATAAGACACTTTATTCACAAATATGTGTGAACTAACTGAAACATTCCATAGTAGTATTAGTACTGGCTTTGTCTGCGTTAATTAAAGCTATGAAATGTAATACTTCCTTTAAAAATCGTTAATTTTCGTGTCCTAGAATCGCAATCAGGAAATGTCACTTGCACTGCGCCTGCGCAGTTAGTTGCTTCTTCTTCTACGCTTTTTTTCACTGCGCTCTATAAGGGGAAAAGGCGGAGTACTCGCGTGGAACAAGTCGCTTGTTTTCAACTTTTCTAATTTTAATGTTTTTTATTTATTTATTTTAGAAAATGCTCAGAATTGTTTATTTTATTTTATTTTTTTTATTTCAAATCGATTAAAACGACGAAGAAAAAAAACGGTAGTGACGTGTTGTTGTGGAAGTACGTCACAGTATTCTAGCCATAGGCCGCAGTGTTAAAGAATTTGAATTTGAATTTGCGGGCTGGCGAGCTAACTGCTAATTCACGTAGCGATCATTTTAAGATTTAACTCGCCCCCCAAACCATGGCGTCGTATACTTTACATCCCGGCTTTGACTCTCCAGCGAAGGTGTTTGCGAAGCTAAAATCAAAAGTTCAAAAGGAAGCGATGCTCGCGCAGGAGGGAGCTTTTGCATGCGACAACGTCAGAGAGCAACGTGGAGCCCAGTTCAACTCTCCCAGGAAGAAAACTGCGAACCCATGGACGATCGACGAGCTCCAGGACAACCAGAGGTTTGACTCTTATTGCAACGAGGCCCAGGCTTTGACTCTGTCTCCCATTTCCAGTCCTCAAAAAGCCTGCGGTTATTGCAGACCCCTGGAGGACACCTCTCCAGTTGGAGTACGAGGGGGCAGAGCGTTCCTGGAGTCGACGGCTGTGTCCCAGCCTCTGCCTTTGGCCATCAGAGATCAGCCCAGCAAAGGGACACCTCAGATCAGTGACTTGAATGGCTTCATTGTGTCCAGCAATACTGCAGTGAAGATGCAACCAACAGGAAACTGTGGAAGAAATACCTTTGATAAGGAAGATGTCCATTTCTGTCCATCCACTGAATTATCCCCAATGAGGACCAGGTTAAGGAAGAGGACCTGTAAGGATCCGGTGTCTAATAAAATCAGCAGAACCGCTGAGATAAAAAGAAAACCACCTTCCACTGAGGATTACACCCTCAACAAGACTTATATGCAGGATTTGGATGGTAGAAGGTTCCCTGTTGACCAATCAGAGATGACCCAAGATGCTGTCACAACAAGATTAATTTCGCACATGCGTGAGTTGTCTCCATTTTCTGCATTTTAAGAGAAAAAAAAAACAGGATAAAATTCTGTCCATTTTAATTGTTTTTCTGCCAATTTTGAACAGGTTGCGATGTTGTTTTGGAAAAATTACCAGTAATGTCCCCAGCCAAGATGTTTGCTTCCATGAAAGAGAGGGAGAAGAACAAAAAGGAGAGACGAGAAGTTCCCAACAGCAGCAGAAGGGAGCTTTTCGATGGAGATAAAAGTATGCATTTATTGAGCAATAGCAGAAATTTAGGTTTACACTGTATGTTCAATAACCATAAATCTTATTTTGATCCTTTATTTTGTTTTGTAGGGAGATTGCACGAGTTCGGAGACACTTCTGTCCTTATGGCTCAGAGTATGAGTGAAACAGAAGAGAGCACGTTAAAATCCACTCCTGAAGCAACGATGCCTGTTGACTCCACTGATGGCCAGTCAAACACTGATGACTCACCATCACAACCTATTCTGCTGGAAGACCCGCTTGTGATCAACTCCCCCCATATCTTGATACCCAAGAAAGACAAGGGCGTGTTCAGACGCAACCACTGGCCTCAGCAGAAAAGGTTCCCAGTTGTAAGTAGAAGCAGAAAAGCAACAAAGACCATCAGGAGCTGTTTTTTTTGTTTTCATAACCTGTCTTCATTTAAACGAAATAATAGAAGACATTTAACCTACTTAATTTATTGAACCATTATAACAAATGTTTAAATAATTAATGACTTTTAGGATTTATTTTCTAATTTAAGTTTGTAGGAAACTGGAATGTGCATCATTTTTGATAAAACATAAAATTTGCTTTGTTTGCGGACCAAAACGTTTGGATTTGCCGACACATTTAAGAATGCATTGTTTAGTTTTAGGTTGACCTTTTGACCTTTCTCAGACGAGCTGTGTTTTTTGCAGGAGAGTGTGGTTTATCTTAAAAGGTGGTTCCTGAGAAGAAACGAGAAAGGCCTGTTTGTGGATGGAATCCATGGGTAAGTCTGGAAACAGCAGAGAAATTGTAACAATATATTCTATGCCTTGTATTTAAATGCAGACATAATGCTTTAATTACAAAATGTCAAACCTTTAGATTTTGGGTAGCGGTGTGTAAACTTTGGGATTTGTTTCTTTTTGTTCAAGGGAAGACAACATACCGTGGAACAGTAACATCATTGTGGAAAGAGTTTCCAGTTCGGTGCTGAAAACCGTCTCTGGCAGGGTTTACATCTTAGTTGGGAAGATGAAGATGAATCTCGCCTCTGGTAGGCATGTTCACAGAATGTTTCACCACAGGTGTAAATGAGGCATTAATCTGTAATGTAAAGCGTTAAATAATATCCTGCTGCATGCTCAATGATCCAGGTAGATAAGTCAGGTCATCTGGATGGAAATGTTTGGTCTTTTATCTAAAGACTTGTTCAGGCTGAGACGCTGAACAAACTCAGTCTTATCACTAACACCTTCTCATAGTGGATCAACGCTCTTTCAGGGATGAAGATGTTCACATCCTTGATAGAGAGGAACGTTGGTTTGAGAGAGGAGTGAAGGAAGACATCTTTGTTAAGAGAACCTGTCCATTGTTAAACAGGGGCGGAGCCTCCGTGTTCAGCTGTCCCCCTCTTACGATGCTGTTATTGCAAGTATCACTCAGCCCCCTGTGAATAGCAAGGGTTAGGTTTATATTTGTCAGGTGCAAAATCAACACAAGGTCAACAATGCAATGAAATGGTTAGGACGAGAAGAACCGGCCCAACTTTCTAAAAAACTAAAAAAACAGAAAAGAAAACATCAAGAAATTTAAAAACTAACATACTAAAAAAAAACATAAAAAAAATATTACAAGCATACTAAAAAACATTAAATACTACTAACATACTAAAAAAAACATTTAAAATACTACTAACATACTAAAAAAAACATTAAAAATACTACTAACATACTTTTAAAAACATTAAAAATACTACTAACATACTAAAAAAACATTAAAAATA